TCTATATATATTTCCATAATATCTCTTGATATTACCCAAAACTACATCGCCCATCTCTAAGTGGAAAGAAAATCAGTGCCCGCGCGTGAAACTTGTTTCTTATGTAAAGTGTCCTTGAAATAATTGTAAATTATGTCTGCACTTCTCGTTCTTGCTCTGTGCTGCCAAGTGATCTTGGATCTGGAATGCTCTTTGAGGAGCAGAGGAAGCCGAAGAATCTTCATCCAGTTATCCGCTGGACTTTCCCGCAACGTCCCTTTGAAACAGAAATCTATGTGTGGGTGGCGCGCGGTTTCAAGCTATTAATAAATTTCAATAAAGTGCATTGGCGGCTGCCATGTGGCATGTGGCATATTTGTGGGGCATGTGTCACCCCTCCATTTGCTCCTCCTCCTCCCCCAATTCCCTCTGCAGATACGTATCCCAATGCCTGTCTTTCTACGGCTTCTGCTTAATTGAAAATCGCAAAAACACAAATTATGAGATCTCAAGCCGTTGGCTGTCTGGTTTGGCATTCTGGTTGGCTATCTGGTGGTGCATCTTCTGCATTTGGCAATTGAACAAATAAACAGAGATATCCCCCCACCGAAATAAACCTGCTAACCAACTTGTGTTCAATCTCCGCATTCTATTCCCAACCTGTTCAATTTCATCGCTTTTGCTCATTTCAATAATTTATTTAGCCAACAAGCAGACGACAGCCACGGAGAGTAAGAGAAATAGAAAATTAGAGAATGGGATGTGAGTGCAGAGAAAGAAAGAAGTAGTTCGTTTGTTAATTTATTATAATTTTTAAAAATATATTTACAAAAACTTATCTTAACTTAAGGTTTCTTGCAGAGCAATAGAGTTTCTGATTTCTGATAGCTTACCCTCTTAAATTCACATCTAGTCACATTTTCTCTCAGTGTAGGGAAATGCACCCTCTTCACATTGGCTTGTGCTGTTGCACTCGGCTAGCCAAATTATTTGGCGAATAATCTGCGGCTGCTTTCGCTCGACGGATTGCAATTAAAAACTTATTTTTAAGAAAAATATACACCAGCCATGGGCAAAGGGGTGTCGACGGAGGCGGGGGCGTGGAAAATCAAGAAGGCAGTGGGGTGTGGAGGAGAAGGGGGCGGCTGTAAATTAAATGCACATAAAACGAAGGCGGCCCACATGCTGATGGTTGGGGCAGACAGCCGAAGCACATGCAACAGAGGCAAAAACACCGCACACAATTGAGTCGCAAATTTATTTGGTCGAGACGCAAAGTGATGAAGGGGCGCGGCTGAAAAGGGGTTGGATTGAATCGCAGATGGGGGTGGGGGAGTGGACGCAGTGCGTCGACGCTTGGAATATTTCAAATTTGCATTCGGTAAAAGGGGAGGAAGGAAAAAAAACAAGAAAATCAAGAAAATTGGGCAAGAAATAAAAATTAGAAATGCCAAATTAATATTGAAATAAATATATGGGGAAAATAGGAAAATTATTGTTTAAGTTTTTGATGGAAAATAAAGTTAAAATATAAACCTAATGCTAGGCCTGATTAAACTTAACCCTTGAACCTGCTTAGCTGCCCAAATCATAACCATAATAAGTTTATAAAGTTTTGTATTTGAAAATTTAATAAACAAATAACAAAAACCAATGCTGACTGAGCACAATGCCATTGATTGACTCGATAATTTGATGTTATCAAACATTCTCTATTCAATTTCCCATAATATAGATCATACGCCCTGGGTGCCAAATAGCCACTCATCGAATTGACCATTCCCTCTATCCACTCCCTTTTTTCAATTAAGTTCATCCTGAATAGTTTTCCCCAACCCCCCCATACTAAACCTTTTCAATTGTTTGCTGGCTGTACCTGCTTTCGGTCAATTTTCAATTGCCTTCAATATTTGCCAAAAACAATCATTGGAAAATCGAAAATATGAATATGAAAATTGCGAATCTATTTGTGAATATATACTATATATGCTGGGGTATCTATATAATCTAAATGTGTGTGTATAGACAGGCTGGGTAATGTTTGCAAAATAGCTGTGCATAAAATTTAATACAAACAGTGGGGATTTTTATTTTGTTTTTGGCTGCTGCTGCTGCTGCTTTTCAATAAAATATCAAAGCACACGGCGCAAGGCAGCAACAACAGCAACAAATACAAAATACACTCGAAATGCAATAATCATATTAAAAGCCACAGAGCAAATAACAACAACAACAAGCCATCACTAAAGGCAACAAAATAGTTCGTTTTTAAAGTTATTATTAGCCGCAAAATGTGGCCCGATACAAGAGTGCACAGATATGCCAGATATACGAGCATATAGATGTACATTCTACACCAATACATATATATTATAAATAGTGTGTGTAGTTTTGGGCCACTGTATGTGTGTGCAATCAATATATATCGTACATCGGTTATATCTGTATCTTGCGCCAATTGAACGACCATCTATATGCACACCCCAAATAACATATATATTATACTATATATATATATATCGGTTGGGTTTCTGTGTTTGTGTATAAATCATTTAAGCGGCCACCAAATAAAAATCAAGTTGAAAACATTCAATGAACTACTTTTACCCTCGGCCACTGCTAAAGTGTTGCATGCAACGCACATACTCTCTGATATATATAAATATAAATAGTACATATGCCATATATCCACATAAAATTCAATACACAGGCTAAAACTACATATTCTATACAGTTTATTTTCCTATTTTTTTTCTTTTTGTTTCTTTGCTGACGATTGAAAAATCAACAAGAACAATGCAAATATGGAAACATAAACTATTTGCCAAATACCAAATGGGTGGAGAGTGTTTTTTCATTAGATTTTAAATGTTGTTTTGGGTTTTTCTTTCACTGTGTTTGCTTCTCTCATAATTTGTTGAGGAAATTATAAATAATTCGAAAGCAAAACGCATTTTATTCGCGGGTAAACAAATAAGGCAATTTTGGGTATAGGTTACTACTAATTCTGAGAAGTGTTGGGCATGGCCTAAAAATATTTGAATTGCCCATTTCTGACATTGATTACAAAATCCAAAACTAAATTGTAATGCCTTATAGGCAATTATTGGATTAAACTTTAAGCATTAATCTTTAGTATTACCCTTAAAAATATCCCAAAAATATTTAATACAATTAAACAAAAAATCGAACATAAAAATCTTAATAATTTTCCAACTTCAAATATTTATAACAAACAAACACAACTCCTATCAAAGTCTCATAAAAACCTTCACCAAAAGGACTTAAAAAGGATTAAAACTAAAAATAAATCAACAAATGTTAAATGCCACATTTATGCAGTCACTTTCGGGTATATGATTTCCATACAAAACACTTAAAAGACCGCCAAATGGTAAATAAATCAAAGCCTGACTTTTATAGGGCTTAGCTTAAAAAGGCCATGAAATCGCTGGAACATAATCTCTTTGTTGGCGCTCCTTAAATTTCATTTTTAAGTTCCTGCAAAACACAAACATCGATCAATCCTTCACGCTATGGAATTTTTCGGGTATTTCCCCACTGAGTCGAGAACCTAACGACAAAGTATTTTGATGGCTTTCTTAGGTTTGAATGCGCCTGACTGCTCGCCTTGGCTAATTTAAGCCATCAGACGCTGCAAATCGATTTGATGTGGCAGACACAGACACACACACACAGACACACCATCAGCGAAGGGGGTGGGGTACCTGTCAACAACTTGTTGCGATCATTGTTTGGTCACGCCCCCTCCTTCCTCGGCAATTAAACGCCACCTAACCGCCAACACTTTTATTCAGTTTTGTTTCGTTTTTTTTTTTATTTTTAATTAATGTGCAGCAACGGTGGGCAGCTCCTACTGCTAAGGGGAGGCGTGGCCGTGTGGCAAGTGTCGAAAATTTATGCGCCACATTAGTTCATAGATCCATAGATACAGATAGAGCATATCTTTTAGTAACAACACCGCCCAGGCCATTTAAATATTCAGAAAAAAAAAAGGAAAAAATTATTTATTAATTTGTTAATTCGTTGTTTGTCATTTTGCGGCTTAAACGTTTCGTTCTGCTACAAAAGACATCAAATTTATGGGACCCCACATTATTGTGGGGGTCTGTAGACAGAGACAGGGCTAATAGATTAAAAAGAGAAGGCGATATGATCTTCGGATGACCACGCTTCGGCTCAGTTCGGTTCGGTTCGACAGCGGCCTCGGCTCGTCGCTCTCAATTAACACGCCAAATTAGCGACGCAACACCGCTGCCGTGCACTGAAAATAAATTTAAATACTAAAAGAGTTACAAAAGGAACTTCTACCTAACCTTTTCTAAGAACCCTAAAGTTATTCAATTATAAAAAAATAAGTTTAAACTTAGTCTTCTTAGTCTTCTTCTGTAACGTTTTAAGGAGAGTTCTTCCGCAGTTTCCAACTCAGTTTCTCCAATTTTAAGAAAATGTGATGAAAATCCCTGAATTTCCCTAAGTGCATGCAAATGTAAATTTGAATTTTCATTATGCGGCAGCAACAGCCGGCAGTCAAAAACTTGTTGAGCATTTTTATTGATACGTTTTGATATTTTTCAAGAATTTATTTAATTTATTTACAGATTTATGAGCTCGCTCTCCGACCGTCGCCGCCTCAGTCAAATATTTGTAGATTTTATTTATGGCCAAGAGCGGGCGAGCAACAACCAACATACACACACAAAATTTATTAGCCAAGTTGAACTTTTTTCGGTTTAACACAACTCTCAGCGCCTCGTGCTGATCTTTTTTTGGAGGGTGGCGTACGAACAGATGATCGCGCCGGGGGGGGGCGGTGGCGGCGGCGGGCCTTCTGGCCAAGGTGACTGATCATCTTGGTCTAATGTGTCAAGTGGTTGCCAGAGCTTTGAATAATAAATAATTGTTTATAATGTATCCGCTGCGCGATCTTTCTCGAGTTTTTGCTTTTGCTTTTGGGGCAACCGGATAAATTGGGTTAAAATCGAGTGGCGATAGAGGAGGAGGAGGGGGAAATGTTTGTTTGAGTATCTCATCAGGTGATCGATTGGAGCTAATGAGAGTTCAGCGTGCAGTTATGCAAATTTTCGTTGAGTGATATAAGCCGATGAGAGATTGTTGCTAGCCAAACAAAAGATATTAGCTGATGGAGATTTCCCTTCCCTGCAAATCGTTAACCATTAATAAAATCTATCTCTATGAAATTAAGTTATTAAATTCGTTGTTTATCTTATAAATTTGAAAACCCTTTTATCCCATGCAGCCCTTCTCATTATCTCAGCCATCGAAAAGGAAAACTTTCCCCATCAACTTGATGCTTGGTCCATGTTGGGCTGACATTTTCATTCGTCTGCCGTGCTAACATCTCCTCGAACATATGTTCTCAGCTCGTGCTGTCTCAGACTGAGTATCTCAGACTGTATATCTGCGTCTGCAGTTACATTGCAGATACATATGTGTCGTTCTGTGTGCCGCACCGTCTGCTACCGCGGCGTATACGTAATGTGACAATTGCTCGCTTCGCTTCTGACATACAGTGCAACTTTGTTTACGTGACTATCAGCCCCCAACTTCTGCGTGCTTGCTGGCACCCTTTTCCCTTTTCATTTCATTATTTCTCTCTCTCTCTCGGCTCTCATCTTCCCGAACATCTTGTACAATTTTATTACGCTTTGCATTGCATTTTGTTGACAGTTTTGTCAACAAGCGTTGAAAATTGGCTAAATATAAATATATGTACCCATCCTCGTTTCGCTTTTTGTCGTCGCACTGTGTGTGTGTGAGTGCAGGAATATTTATTACAACGGCAACAACAACAACAACAACAACAACTCGCTCGCATCGCATTTTATTTATAAATGCGAATATAAATAGGTGCAAGATGCACAGATTTCATCTGTGCCTAAAAGGAGGGTGGTGGTGGTGGTGGGCTGTACAGGGTATAATACGAGGGATCCTGGTGCACAGTCAAGCGAATTCGCAGCAAGCATGACTTGTAAATAGCTGCGAGTTAAGTATCTGGCAAAGTGCAAAGTAGTTGCCAAGGCATCACCGCCAGACTGCCGCAGCAGCATCTTCCTCGCCATCATCTTCGTCCTCGGCAGCATTCGCCCCCTCATCTTGCACATAAATGCACTGTGAAAAATATCTATACTTAATAGCAAGTCTTGAGTTCTTTTTGTTAGTTTAATCATTACTTAAGTTTAATATTAATATTTGTTATTATTTCTTAAGAAGAAACCAAATCTTAAAGGTTTTTCTCTTGGTGCAGCATCATCATCATCGTAATGAACTGGGCACGCACTTGTCTCGCTCAGCCGTAGAATGATGAATGTGGCAAGAGGCGGCAGATGTGGCGATGTCTATATGGCTATAACTATAGCCCTACCTATAGGCATGTCTATGCCGGCAGAACGAAGAAAATGTGCAACATTCTGCCGCTTTATCGCTTTTCCAGGAATCGGAAAATGCTTCCGCATCAATTGAAAGCGTAAGTGCCACTATTTTTGTTGGAAAATTTACTCAAGAAGGGGGGGAAGTCTGGAGAACTAAGTTTGATTTTTTTATTAATAATACTTAAGGTGATCAGCTTTTTAGTCAACTTATAAAATCTTCTCCTGTTAAGATAATAATAAGTAATAAAATAATCTTAAGCTTAAGAAACCCAAACATTTACTTAATATTTAACCATTAAAATTCAATTTGAAATATTTTATGAGGATAATAAATATTAACAACCAGAAATCAAAATATTCACCAGAAAGAACATGGAATATTTATTTCTTTCTCACCTATTTATTAAGATCAAGTTGACTTAATCAATTTGATCCACACCTCAAGAACTTAATCCACTCTGTAAATATTTTTCCAGAAAACCAGCTTACATACCTTACTTACCTTTAGCTTACTGTGAATTATTCGTCATTTCAAAGTCTTTCCGCACACCTCTTCTTTACCCACCAGAATTTTACCTACAACTACAATCCCTGGTTTATCTTTCACACTTTAGCGTGGCTTAAAAATAGAAGACCACGACACTTCCTCCCCCTAAAGAAAAAAAAAGAAGAAGAAAATCATAAAAAAAAAGTGGGAACTGCCGCCCTATGGCGCTGTCAAAATCAGTTAAGAACACCGATTCGCTGTCTCATCGCCGGATCAACGACCACAGCGACTTGTATGCCATGTGTGTGGATTTTTTTGCTGTACTTTCTGTCTTCTATGTGATGAGGTACGAGCAGCAAAATAAAAAATAATATAAAAACAGCAACGAGAACCAACCTCAAAGACAACTTTCAGGTGAAACACAAACAACAACGTCGCGCCAAAAACAAAAAACAACAACAACAATAAAAAGATGTAAGAAAAAATATTTAAATATTTTAAGAGCGATGACCCAGAAGCCGAAGCCCCAACAACAACAACAACAACGTCAAACACCTTCCAACGGGCCAAAAGCAACAACAAAAACAAACTGGAAAAAATAAAAAAAAAAGCAATTTTAAATGAAGAATTTTTTTGGTTCAACAAGAAGAGTTTAATTTGTCAGAACAACAAACTTGATAAAAATCTATACACAGGCGAGGTAGCGTGGGAGAGAGGTAGCGAGGGAGAGAGGGCTAATACAAAGTATGGTAAAAAACTGAAACGAAGCAAAAAGTTTCCCAAAAGGCTGGGGCTGCGACTTCATGCAAACTTATTTTGTGCTGACATTAACGGAATAAGTTTATGTCATATTTTGGAGTCACAAAGAGGGCAATCAATTAGGGAAGAAGAAAAAGTTACAAAATATTAAATAAAATTTACAAGAAACTGAGAGAATGCCACTAAAAAACTTAAAAACTACCTTGAGTAAAGGATTTTTATAATAGATTAAAATTAAGGAAAGGTAAAAATAAGTTAAAAGTTAAGTTATTTAGGCAAGAATGCAAGAAAATATCTAATTTAAAATATAAAAATTGTCTAAGAACTTTTTAAGTTTATTTTTATAAGCAACAAAATCCCAAAAAGAAGTTTTTTATGTAAAAATAAGTTAATAAATATTAATTTTAGCTTAACTTAAATTAATATATATTTACAAAAACAATTGGAACATCAAAAATCACCTCGCAGCCTCGAACCTTATAAAAATATCTTTTTCCGTCTGTCAAACTCCCCAAATCCACAGCTTCCCCCTCTCTCTGAACTCTCTATGATGCTATTTTCTCATCCAACTTCTGAGATCATAAATCTTTGTTCGGCTGCCGCCTGTTTTTTTCTTTACCCGAAGCTTGTTGCTAGTTTCTTCTAACGTCAAACACTAATTGGTATTAGCAGTTGCCATCACACGCACCCCCTCTTTGGGCCCCCTCAATTATGGGCTTTCAAGATTAAAGAACCAACACGGGTTCAATGGATCAAGCCAAAGTTGATTTTACCTTTTACGGCCTTTGACTTTGAATTGTGCCGCTGAATTTTGTTTTTTTGACGCTGGCAACAAACAGGTGGGCGTGGTTTTTGGGGGGATACAAAGGAGAACCTGTTGTTAGAGACGGTTGTTAATTCAAGAAGTGGGTGGTCACTAAAAAGCTCAAATTAAATTAGTATCGGATTTAACGGGCTACATAAAAGCCTTTGAACGCTGGTTTAGGCATTTTAACCATTTTTGTAGAGGCAATTGTTATTCTTTTTGAATTTTAATGGTTTAATATCAGTGTTTTAGTAGGCAATAACTTAAAAATAAGCATTTTTACGTTTGATTTTTAATCAATTTATCTAATTTTAAATGATTTTTATTAAGCAATATTAAGTTTCCTACTAGAAAATCTGAGTTAAAACTGAAAAATATTCTGAGTTCAGGCTTGAAACCCTTTAAACTATTATTTTTTATATTTTAGACACATTTATTGCTTCTAACTTTAACTTTCATAGAAAGTTAATCAGGGCGTCATGTCGATAAACGATTACTTATATTAATCGACGCCAATGTACAGCCAACGAACCCCAAAAACAAAACGGCTGGCGCGACGTGCAAAGTGCGAAATCGAACAACGGAAAAATTGTAACTCAAACGGAGGTCGTGGAAGGTGCAAAGGGGGTGCTATGGTGGTGGAGGGAGACAGGGAAAAGGGGCTGGGGTAAACAACAAATGCAAATGCCCAGATACAGATACAAGCCACAGCACAGATACAATCAAATACATACGTCAATTGCTTGGTTGCTTCGTCGGTGTGGCTAAAAATGAAAAATTGCTTTTCAAAATTAAATCAACATTTAATTTTCTCGTAATTTGCTGCCTGCCTGCCAGCTCAGCCGCAAAAGGCAGTGAAGGAGTGAGATGGAGATGGCGGGTGGGATACGGGAAAACCGAGTGGTGACTGAGGGTGAGGGAAAACTCACGCATTTTTCTACAAATTAATTTTAGCACAAAGATTGCCAGATACAGAGAAATGTACCTCAGCTAACAGATACAAGACACCCAGTGCATGGCTATAGATACAGATACATTTGCGATAGATAGATACAGAGATACATAGATATATAGACCCCCATCGCTGTCTTCCACAGAGATACATCGTATTGGTTAGCCATTAAATGACGCCAGCAACAACAGCAACAACAACAACAACGAAACTACAAATCGTTTGGCAGCCAAGTGCCAAATAAAAACTTATTACTTATACGCCTCGTATGCCAGGCCAAAGCAAAATCAAAAACCAAAACCAAAAGCAAAATCACCCAGCACATGAATCTATTATGAATTAGACTTTGAATGCCAAAGCACACTCAAACACACTAACACACAGCGAATGGGCATAAATAAATATTTTGTAGCTCGTTTAAATATTCACCCTGGAGGGCAATTTTTCGTAAAGATTTTTCGGTTCGATTCCAATTGTATTTGCCGCAGATTTAGTTGAGTTCTCTCGCCGGTAGAATGAGTGTATGTGTGTGTTTGGATGAGAGCAATAATGTGGAACAAGGTCCACAAATAAACAATTGAAGATTATTGAATATCGGTTGGGGTGGGGTTGTTGCGAGAGGGGCGAGTGGGGGGCAGTGGGACTTGGCTTAAGGAAACTCGTGTGGCAATCAATGAATAAATTAGTAAGGCTATGCAAAAATGTTGACTTCCGAAGACAAATTAAATGGAGTAAACCTTGAGCTGAATTTGTAATTTAAGTAGATAAATTAAGAGCTGTCGAGGTACTAATAAAAACCATTTTATTTTCCTTTTTATTTATAAGTTAATAAGTATAAAAATCAAAAGAAAAATGTATATTCCCCTTCTCTAGAAGTTACTAAATATTTAATAAAACTTTACAAAACAGTTTCCAAAATATTTACCATTAAATTGCCCCCCAAAAGATGTATCTTTTAATTTTCAGCTTCAGTAAGTCCAAATTTCAGGCAGAATTATGCCCATCCATCACTGGCAAGTGCTAAGTCCACAAAATGCTATATCTTGACCAAAATTATCCATCACATAAACGGGTATTCATTCATTTTATAAGTCAGCCCCCGCAGGGGAATAGCAAATGATCCATGGCATAACTCTAAATAGAACGCATTTGTCACAGAAATCAAACGAAATTTTCAAATATTTTTAGACCACAAAGGTGGCTGCGCCCTCTTTCTTCTCTATATATCTCTTCCTGGTCTATATCTTTATATGATTTGTTTAGGAACTGTGAAATTGTTAAACTGCCACTTTATTAATAATGCCCAAACTAACACACACACACACACGCACAGGCATTAAGGGGAAAAGAGAAAAAACCGAAAAAAAAATCATTTTTAGTTCTTTATTGTCAAACAAAACAAAATGACAAAAAGTTCGCTTTTTGAATTGAAATATTTTGACGTGTTCCAAATTATTTTCACCGAGATGTTGTTGTTGCCCATTTATTATTAACTCGATTCTCTCTATCGGCTGTGTGTGTGTCTGTGTTGACAAGATAGAAGAATAAAAAAATGTGTCAGAACAACAGAAATTGTGTATTCCCGCCCGAGGGCGAAAGGAAAGTTACCATCAGATGCAGAATAATCCGTATCCATGGCTTCTTGGCTTCTTGAATGGATGAGTTCCCGATGCTAATGAGCGCGTATCTGACAGATACAATTTATAAATTTGACAAGTGCAAAAGCACGAAAGAATAACACACAAAACCAAAAACGAAACACCCAGTCAGTCAAATGGAAAACGAACAATAATGCAATTTGAAGGGAGGAAGGGAGAAGAGAAGCAAACGAATTCCAAAGCAAAGTCAGAAAAAAAAAGATATAGCTTTCAGCAACAACAACAACCAACAACAACAACCCACAACAAACAACAATACAAATCTCAAACAAAGCCAAATTATTTAGCATAAACGAAATTGTTGACAAATTATGATTTAGTACTGACCGCATTAACATATATCCATACAGAAACATCTGTATATATATAGAGAGAGATATAGATATATATTTATCTGGTCAGCATGTTATGAGCGCCGGCCATCTGTTCATAAATTTCACGCTGCTTAATTAAAATTTTGAATATTTTATGCAGTTCGGGCATGGCAGTAGCCCAAGTAGCCGAAACTAATGCCCGATAAACTGTCTGACCTTTTGACCACAACTCATTTCCATGGAGAGGCAGTTTTCGGTTCGAGTTTCGATACCCATTCATTATGACAGAGGCATGATTGGTGCTCCTTAACTTGAAGTTATGTTTGTGAATTTAGATGCCTAACTTACTTGTTAAATGCTTTGTAAAATGATTTGATTATGAATTTAAATTTTCAAAGTAAGTGATTGAAGGTAACTCCATAGTCGTTTCCCTGATCACTGCATCTACTTATTGCTAGGAAGCAAATATTAAAAATGCATTTTGAATAAATAAACCCATAAATTGGGATGCTAGCCCCTAGATTTACACACATTCATATGCATTTAAATTAGACTCTTACAAATAACGACCCATATATATACCCTACTTATGCTAATTAGCTGGCCGCGAGGTGTTTACATTTCGCTAATCAACATCTTGATACAACTTTGTCGTCGCTTCTTTTTAGCTTTTGGCTGTCCCTTAAAAAAATGTTCTATATCCGGTCTTAATTTACATTTCTTCACAAAACAGCACTTTGCTGATAATCACCAAATTTACGCTTAAGTATTCGAAATTAACATTGTTGCGGTTGCTTTCCATAGCCGTGTGGGCTCTCATTTTGTGATAAATATTTGTTTTGGCTTTGGCCCGACGTGTGTCTTCTATATACTCGCATTTTGTTTTTGCTTCCTTTTTGCTGTAATTGATTATTCTGCCAACTTTTCGCTATTGTTTGTCTCGCACATTTTTGTCGGAAATTTATTTCCAACGAGCGCTGAAATGTGTTTTGTGGAGTGGAAATATCAAAGGTAAGGTTAAGGATCAAGGCCCCCCCCCCCCAATGAGGTATTTTACACTGAATAATTTAGGTGTTTGCTTTTAAGCTTTAGCTGCTAATTAGTGAACTTTATATAAAAGCAAAAGGGAAGAAATTAAACATTTGCAGCAAAGAGAAAATTCTGAAAATAAACTTAAATAATATAAAATTTAAGGTAATAACTAACTCCCTGATAACTAAACTATATATATTTATTTACAGATACTTTTCACAGATATAGCTACGAATAAGTCCCCACAAAGAACGATCAACAGGCAATCGCAGTTATCGACTCGCCAGTCTGATCGATCG